TTTCTTGTCTGGGAAACTCTTTATCTGTCCATCAATTCTAAATGATAGCTTTGCAGGATAGAGTAATCTTGGTTGTAGGTTGTTGCTTTTCATCACTTTGAATATCTCTTGCCACTCCTTTCTGGCCTGCAAAGGTTCTTTTGAGAAATCGGCTGACAGCCTTATGGGAGGGAGCTCCTTTGTAGGTAACTAACTGCTTTGCTCTTGCTGCTTTTAAGATTCTCTCTTTGGCATTCTCTTTTTAACCTTTGGCATTTTGATGATGATTTGTCTTGGTGTGGACTGCTTTGTGTTCATCTTGTTTGGGACTCTCTGTGCTTCCTGGACTTGTAAGTGTGTTTCCTTCACCAAGTTAGGGAGGTTTTCTGTCATTATTTTTTCAAATAGGTTTTCAATTTCTTGCTCTCTCTCTTCCCCTTCTGGCACCCCTATGATGCGAATGTTGGTACCCTTGAAGTTGTCCCAGAGGCTTCTTTGACTATCCTCATTTTTTTTTTATTCTTTTTTCTTTTTGCTGTTCTGATTGTGTGTTTTTTGCTTCCCTATATTCCAAATCAATGGTTTGCTTCTTGGCTTCACCTCCTGTACTATTAATTTCCTGTAAATTGTTCTTTATTTCAGTCAGTGCATTCTTCATTTCTGACTGGTCCTTTTTTTATGTTCTTGATGTTCTCACTAAGTTCCTTGGAGTTCTCCTTAAGTTCCTTGAAGTTTTCACTAAGTTCTTTGAGCATCCTTATAACCAGCATTTTGAACTCTGCATCTGATTGATTGTTTATCTCCATTTTGTTTAGTTTTTTCCCTGTAATTTTGTTCTGTTCTTTCATTTGGGACATGTTTCTTTGTCTCCTAATTTTGGCTGCTTCCCTGTTTCTACGTATTAAGTAGAGTTGCTATGTCTCCTAGGCTTTGTATGGTGGACCGTTGTTGTAGGTGTCCTGTAGGGTCCAGTGGCACAGCCTCCCTGATCACCCCAGCTGAGCCCTTAAAGTGCATCCCTTGTGTGGACTGTACACCCTTCTGTCGTAATTGTCTTGATTGCTGTTGGCATGTCAATAGGAGGGATTTACTCAGGCTGATCAGCTGCAAGGACTGGCTGTGCCCACTGACCCTTGGCCTCTGACTCGCTTGGAGGATCAGCTGTGTAGGGGCCCAACACACAGAGCAAGACTTACTTTATCAGGGCTCTGGCACCCACTGAGTCCAATTATTGAGTGTGTCACTTGTGGAGGTGGTTGGGTGGTAGTGCTTTGATATATTCTGAAGCTGTCCACTGGATGTGCTGGCTCTGGGGCAAGGTCAGCCACTGCCTGTGTTCTACCCGAGACTACCCAGCATAAGCTACAAAGTGATCTGCCAATGGCTGCTTCTTGTACTGGGCTTGGAGTTGCCCAGAAGAAGCCAAGCTGTGAACCATGACTGGCTGCCTCTAGTGCCAGGCCTGGGGCCACTTGACGAGTGGTATGAGGCTCACTGAGACCAGATACTGCTTGTTTGAAAGATTTTAGGAAAATCTGAAGCAGGATCCAAGACAGGTCAATCCTATGGTAAAGCCATTGGAAACAGCTTGGGTGGGCCCGAAAGTTGGGTGGGGCAGGGCCTCAGGGAATTACCAGGGCAGGACAAACTGTGTGAGCCCGGTTGCTGGAGTCCCAGATATGGTGGCTATCTGCTGCCCCAGGGAAGGGCTCACCAAAGGAACAATGGCTCCCCACAGGAAGTCTATCCGGGAGAAAGCTGCCCCTTCGGCTCTCGCCCCAATGCCAATCAACTCAGTTCTTCCCTGTATGTCTCTTTCAAGCTGCCTCCCCAATGCTGTATCTCAGAAGGAGGAAGTCCAAGTAAGTCCATGTGCGGGCCCTTTAAGAGGAGCTGCCTGGGGCTCCAGCAGCCTCAGCCTCCCTCAGCCTCAGTTCCTGCTGGTTTTTACAGCCAGAAGTTATAGGGACTTCTCTTCCTGGCACTGGAACCCTGAGCTGGGGGCCTGGTGTGAGACCCCTTGCTCTTCAGGGAGGACCTTCACAGCTGAGGTATCCCTCTTGATTTTTATCTGCCACACCTGGGTGTGGGACCAGCCCATCCATACCTTCGCCCCTTCTACCGGTCTCGATGCGGCTGCTTCTTTAATATCGTAGTTCTAAGACTTCCATGCAGCTCGATTTTAGGCGGTTCTGAATGATGGTTGTTCTGTAGTTTAGTTGTAATTTTGATGTGGTTCTGGGAGGAGGTGAGTACCCATTTACCTATACTGCCATCTTGACCAGAAGTCCCTAACTAGTTTTTTTGTGTGTTTATTATTTATTTATTTATTTTTTTTTTTTTTATCCTCACCCGAGGATATTTTTCCATTTTTTGTACAGATAGAGTGGGAGGGAGAGAGAGGAAGGGAGAGAGAGTGAGAAACATTGACGTGAAGGGACACATCGAGTGGCTGCCACCCGCACGACCAACCAGGGCCGGGGACTGGTTGGTACGTGCCCTTAGTGGGAACTGAACCCGGGTCTCTCTGGACCGCAGGCCGACGCTCTAACCGCTGAGCCAAACTGGCCAGGGCTGTGTGTTTATTTTTTTTTGTGGGAGGTGATAAATACCTTTATTACATGAGCTCAGACAGGAGGGAAGAGAACTTATTTGCCTTTCTGGGCCTTGATTTTTCTCAGATAGAACTCCAGCTCCTTGCCATCTAGCACATAGCCATCTGCTCGGCCACACTGGCCTGGTCTTGAGGTGATGCATGCAAGAAGCTTGCCCTGCTGGAACTGCTCCTCGAGAAGACTGCTAATTTTGGCATTCTTTTTCCTCTCATCAAATTTCTTCTGAATTTTCTTTTATCATTTTTTTGTTCCAAATCTATTCCTCCTCAGGAGTCAGCTTAGCCCCCTTCTTGCGGCCCAGTGGCAGTGCACAGTGGGACTCGTATCACTTTCGGTGTGGTGTGCTGTCAACAAACACGATGCAGTTATTTACCACGGTTTTAGTGCAGACCAGTTCATTGTTGGATGCGTTGTAGACAACATCAATAATCCTTGTTTTGCGTGTACAACACTCTGAGCCCCAGGATAAGTTGCCCACGTCCAGCCTCAAGGCTCTGTACTTCTTGTTGCCTCCCCGTACATGGATCGTGTGATGTGGTGGGGTCCAATCTTAGTGTTGGCAGCAGGGCGTCCCAGCTCATATTTTCGCTTCTTGTGGTAGGGCTTCCTATTTCCCCCAGTCTTGTGGTGCTTGTGCCAGTTGTCCCTAGAAATGCCCATGGCTTGGCGCCAGCTGGAAGGAGCCTAACAAGTTTTTTAAAAGTCTTTTTAAATTGATTTTTAGAGAGAGTGGAAGGGAGGGAGGGGGGGAGAGAGAGAGGAAACATCCATGAAAGAGACCCATTGATTGGTTGCCTCCCAAACACACCCCAACCAGGGCTGGGGATTGATCCTGCAACCCAAATACATGTCTTTGACCGGGAATCAAACCTGTGGCCCTTTGGTGTGCAGCTGATGCTCTAACCATTGACACACCAGCCAGGGATGGAATAGAGTTTTTACTTTTTCTTTATTGATTTTATTTTTTAATTTTTTAACTTTTTATCCTCACCCAAGGACATTTTTCCATTTTTTTGTTCAAATAGAGTGGGAGGGAGAGAGAGAAACATCAACATGAAAGGGACACACTGAGTGGCCACCTCACGCGGTTGGGGACAAACTGTAATCAAGGTACGTGCCCTTAGCAGGAACCAAACTCGGGTCTCTCTGGACCGTAAGCTGATGGTCTAACAGCTGAGCAAAACTAGCCAGGGCTTCTTTATTGATTTTAGAGAGAGAGAGAGGAAGGGAGAGGGAGAGAGAGATAGAAACATCGATTAGAGAGAACATCGATTGGCTGCCTCCTGCATGCCCCTCACTGGGGATTGGGCCCACAACATGGGCATGTGCCCTGACTGGTAATTGAACTGGCAACCTCTTGGTGCATGAGTCAATGTTCAACCACTGAGCCATGCCAGCTGGACTGGAATAGAGTTTTTAAAAGGAGAAGGTTGGAAGCAACCCAAATGTCCATGGATATTTGAAGGGATACAGAAATTATGCATTTATTCACACAATGGAATATTACTCAGCCGTAAAAAGGAGTGATGCGCCCTGGCCGCTTTGGCTCAGCGGTTAGAGCGTCGGCCTGCGGTCCGGAGAGACCCGGGTTCGGTTCCCGCTAAGGGCACGTACTTCGGTTGCAGTTTGTCCCCGGCCCTGGTTGGTTGTGCGGGTGGCAGCCACTCGATGTGTCCTTTCATGTCGATGTTTCTCTCTCTCTCCCTTCCTCTCTCTCCCTCCTCCCACTCTATCTGTACAAAAATGGAAAAATATCCTCGGGTGAGGATAAAAAAAAAAAAAAAAAAAAAAAAAAAAAGGAGTGATGCACTTATGTACTCTACAATGTAGATGAACCTTGAAAACATGATACTGAGTGAGTGAAGTCAGACACAAAAGACACAAAAGGTTACTTGTTCTGATTCCATTTATATGAAATGTCCAGATCAGGCAAATCCATAGAGAAAGAAAGTGGATTAGTGGTTGCCAGGGGCTGGGAGAGGGGGAAGGAAGGGGGTGGGGAGTGATTGCTAATTGGGACAAGATTTCTTTCTGGGATGATGGAAATGTTCTGAAACTAGATAGAAGTGGTGGTTGCACAATATTGTGAATGTACTAAATGTCACTGAAGTGTACACATTAAATGGTGAACTTTATGTGATGTGAATCTCACATCAATTAAAAAAAAGGGGGGGACATGTGGTCTCCTCAGGTCCTGTGTGAAACCCTGGCCATATCACAGGCAACAAATGGCATCTACTACCAAAGCTCAATGGGCAGGTGGCAGACATGATCAGGACCCAGGTCTTGTTTTCTTCTTCTGTGGGGCTGGTTCTAGTGATTTCGCCTATGCCTGGGGCAGTTTCAGAGCCTGGGCAAGCTGTCTAGGGTCCCCAGGCTGAGACCCTGAGGCCTCTGAGCCTGGCACCCCACCCTGTTCTCCCACAGTATGGCTGATAAGAACGGAGCTCTTAAGTGCACCTTCTCAGCTCCCTGCCATAGCACCAGCCTCCTGCAGGGCCTGGCTACACTTCGATCACAGGGCCAGCTCCTGGACGTTGTGCTCACAGTCAACAGAGAGACTTTTCATGCACACAAGGTGGTACTGGCTGCCTGCAGCGACTACTTCAGGTGAGCAAGGGCCTGGGGGATGGGCTGGAGAGGACAGACTCTTCTGAGAGGGGCATGTTCAGTGCTAGCCAGAGAGGGATGGCTATGAGGGAGGGTGGCTGGTGTTGGCCCAACATACAGTAAAACCTGCCCCTTTTCCCAGGTTTGCAACTTAGTCAGACTTTTTGGGTACATTACACAGGCAAGGAGAACATACCTGGAAAACAGAAGTGGCCCATGGGTACCCAATTAGCAGTTTCTGCCCTGAGGGGTGGCAGGGCTTGGCCAGGTTTCTACTCTGTCTTTATTGGACACCTGTGTGTGCTGGCACATGTCCCTGCCCTCGTGATACTTGTACTTAGGCCAAGGAACAGGAGGGACTCCCAGGCGGTGGCACCCAAGTTTTTCAGGCTCTGTTCCAGTTCCCACATGACAGGTGAGGCCTTGCTGAGTATATGGGTCAGTCTACTGTGAAGGCTCTTTCCTAAAAGTGCCATCCTGGGGTGGTTCTCTGGCCCTGCTTTGCCAATGGTGGCCGAAGCGCCCCTGCCACCATCTCACAGAGTCTGAGGCTAGGTGCCCTGCCCGGTGTGCCCCTAGCTGCCCGCCCTATGGTCTCAATGAGGCCCTTCTGGGGAACTGGAGAAACCAAACCATCTGGGGCGCTGCTTCTATTTTTATTCTGGATTTGGGGACGGGCGGGCCGCCCCAGCCAGAAATGCCCTTTAAAGGCTCCTTTGCGCTGGCACTGTAGCTGGCAAGGCCTTAAAAGGCAAAGCTCCCTCCTGTCTTGATGACTGCTTCTGCCTTCGACAGGCGGATGGGACTCGTGGGGACAAGAAGGGGTAGGGCCCTGGGGCTGGCAGAGTGCTGCTCCTGGAAGGGCTAAGGCACTGCCTTGTGGTGTGCTGGGCAGTTGTTACTTGATGGCCCCAAGGCAGCACCAAGCTCAAATGTTCCTGCTCTGGGGCCTGAGCCTGGTTCACACTAGGGGTGTGACTGGGTGACGAGCAATTGTTAGGCAAATGATCAAGGGAAATTCCCTCCCCTCGGTCATCTGTCACGATATATGGTGATGGCAGTCACAGAAAGGTCAGCTAACCCTGTGAGAGGAGCCTCCCATGCACCATCTTTTAGAACCTCCCATGAACTCTTAGCAAGCACTGGGATTCTTGCCCCTCTTCCTGGCAGGGGCCCTCCCGAAGGCTGTGGGGGACTATGACCCAGATCGTGTGTCCCAGAGCATGGCAGCACAGCCGACAGACCTGGGGTTACTCACTTTGGTCCACAGGCTGACACTCTAACCGCTGAGCCAAACCGGCCAGGACTCTTTTATTTTTTGTATGTCTTTAATGCACACCTGGCCTGCTGTCCCCTGGTGGGCTAACCCTTGCTTGCAGTGTCTCAAGGCCAGGCCATTCTAGTGGCCACAATGCCCCCCAGTACCCTGAACCCACATGCTGTGTTTTTGACCCCCAGGGCCATGTTCACAGGAGGCATGAGGGAGGCAAGCCAGGACATCATTGAGCTGAAGGGCTTGTCAGCACGTGGCCTGCAGCACATCATTGACTTTGCCTATAGTGCTGAAGTGACGCTGGACCTAGACTGTGTGCAGGATGTGCTGGGTGCGGCTGTGTTCCTGCAGATGCTACCGGTGGTGGAGCTGTGTGAGGAGTTCCTCAAGGCTGCCATGAGTGTGGAGACCTGCCTGCACATTGGCCACATGGCCACAACTTTCAGCCTGGCCTCCCTCAAAGAGTCAGTGGATGCCTTCACCTTCCGGCATTTCTTGCAGATTGCTGCAGAAGAAGACTTCCTGCAGTTGCCGCTGGAGCGCCTTGTTTTCTTCCTGCAGAGCAACCGTCTACAGAGCTGTGCTGAGATTGACCTGTTCCATGCCGCTGTCCGCTGGCTGCAGCATGACCCTGCCCGAAGGCCTCGCGCCAGCCATGTGCTCTGCCATATCCGTTTCCCACTCATGCACTCGTCTGATCTGGTGGACAGTGTGCAGACTCTGGACCTCATGGTAGAAGACGTGTTGTGCCGCCAGTACCTGCTAGAGGCCTTCAACTACCAGGTGCTGCCTTTCCGGCAGCATGAGATGCAGTCTCCGCGCACAGTTGTGCGCTCCAACGTGCCCTCGCTGGTGGCCTTTGGTGGCACACCCTATACCGACAGTGACCACGCTGTCAGTAGTAAAGTATACCAGCTGCCTGAGCCAGGAGCCTGCCACTTCCGTGAGCTCACAGAGATGGAGGTGGGCTGCAGCCACACATGTGTGGCCGTGCTGGACAACTTTGTGTATGTGGCTGGGGGCCAGCACCTGCAGTACCGCAGTGGTGAGGGTGCGGTGGATGCCTGCTACCGCTACGACCCTCACCTGAATCGATGGCTGCGCCTGCAGGCCATGCAGGAGAGCCGCATTCAGTTCCAGTTGAACGTGCTGTGTGGCATGGTCTATGCCACAGGTGGGCGAAACCGGGCCGGCAGCCTGGCCTCAGTTGAAAGATACTGCCCGCGGCGCAACGAGTGGGGCTATGCCTGCTCATTGAAGCGCCGCACCTGGGGCCACGCAGGTGCTTCAGCTGGGGGTCGCCTCTACATCTCAGGTGGCTACGGCATCTCAGTGGAGGACAAGAAGGCACTGCACTGCTATGACCCCACGGCTGACCAGTGGGAATTCAAGGCACCCATGAGTGAACCCCGTGTGTTACACGCCATGGTGGGTGCTGGCAGCCGCATCTACGCCCTGGGTGGCCGCATGGACCATATGGACCGCTGCTTTGACGTGCTGGCTGTGGAGTACTATGTGCCCGAGACGGACCAGTGGACCAGCGTGAGCCCCATGAGGGCCGGCCAGTCAGAAGCTGGCTGCTGCCTGCTGGACAGGAAGATCTATGTCGTTGGGGGCTATAACTGGCGCCTCAACAATGTGACAGGCATTGTGCAGGTATACAACACTGAGACAGATGAGTGGGAACGTGACCTGCACTTCCCTGAGTCCTTTGCAGGCATTGCTTGTGCCCCAGTCCTGCTGCCCCGGGCCAGGAGCAGGAGGTAGCTCCCAGGACACCCCCTACAAACACACCCATGACCTGGCCGCATGTTGTTCCTGCCAGGGGCTTGGTGAGCACATGTCCCATGGAGAATCTCAGGCCCCCTCTCCCTGGGCTGACTGTATAGGCCCACTGTATTGATAAGCCTCCTTCCTAGAGTCTTTCCTTCTCAAAGCAGATCTTGGCTCTGTGCCTGCCCGGGGAGCCTACCAGTGAGGAGGTCCATGTGTTGTGGCAGAAAATTGGAGCCTGGGTGGTTTTTTTTGTCTGCACAGAGTCCTCACTCATGAGCCAGAATTGGGGGTCTTTTTGGGGTGTTGTGCCCCACTTTTTCCCCATCCCTCAGCCTGGCAGTCTCAGATGTTCAGATGTGGGCTCATTAATGTCATTTCAAATTCATGGTATGTCACTCTCCCCTTCCTGAGTTTCTTGTGCATGTGTGTGTTTTTATTTTATTTTTTATTTTTAAATATGTTTTTATTGATTTTTAGAGAGAGAAGAAGAGAGGGGGAGAGAGAGAAACATCGATGAGAGAGAAACATCAATTGGCTGCCTCCTGCATGCCTCCCACTGGGGATCAGGCCCACAACCCAGGCATGTGCCCTGACTGGGAATAAAACTAGTAGCTACCTCTTGGTGCACGGATCGATGCTTAACCACGGAACCACACCAGCTGGGCTGCACGTGTATTTTTTTTTTTTTAATAGATTTTTTTTTTTATCCTCACCCAAGGACATTTTTTCCATTTTTTATTCAGATAGAGCGGGAGGGAGAGAGAGGAAGAGAGAGAGAGAAACATCAACGTGAAAGGGACACACCGAGTGGCCGCCACCCACACGACCCAACCAGGGCCAGGGACAAACTGCAGCCAAGGTACATGCCCTTAGCAGGAACTGAACCCAGGTCTCTGTGGACCGCAGGCTGACGCTCTAACCACTGAGAAAAACCGGCCAGGGCTGCATATGTATTTTTTTTTATCCTCACCTGAGGACATTTTTCCATTTTTTTGTTCAGGTAGAGTGGGAGGGAGAGAGAGGAACAGAGAGAGAGAGAGAGAGAGAAACATCAATGTGAAAGGAACACATCAAGTGGCTGCCACCCGCACAACCAACCAGGGCTGGGGACAAACTGCAACCAAGGTACATGCCCTTAGTGGGAACTGAACCCGGGTCTCTCAGGACCGCAGGCCGACGCTCTAACCGCTGAGCCAAACCGGCCAGGGCTGCATGTGTATTTTTAAGTAATTGCACCCCACATCTCTGGAGCCGGAGAGGCTCTGAAGCACCCAGCTTGGAGTGACAACCAGAGAACAGTTCTGTCTCCCCAGTAAGCCCAAACTGCTGAATGGGAAGGGGACTGCAGAGAAGGGTTCAGCATTAGTCCCTGTTCCTGTCCTTGGTTCAAGTACCTCAGGGTGTTTGCTCATCCTCTTTCCGGAGGAAAAACCACAGGCAGCTCCCAGAGACGGTCCTTATGTGTGTCTGGCCTTCTACTGGGCACTGGGCCACATGGGGGGCCCTAAGGAGAACTGGGCTGATTATGTCCCTGACCCACAGATGAAGGATGCTGCTGCTTTAGAATCCCAGTGTGTCTGTTCAAGGATTTTCTTTTTATTATTTTTAAATTCTCACTGGAGGATATTTTTCCATTTATATTCAGATAGAGTGGGGTGTGGGGAGAGGAACACTGATGTGAGAGAGAGACATCGATCAGTTGCCTCCCAAATGACCCCCGACTGGGGCCAGGGACTGAACCGCAACTGAGGTATGTGTCCTTGACGGGAATCAAACCTGAGACTGGTCCATGGGCCAACACTAACCATTGAGCAAACTGGCCAGGGCTGTTCAGGGATTTTTATTTTATCCACTCTCCAGCTCTGCATTCCCTCCTTGTCCTGTGTTCAGGTTGAAGCGCCACCTGGCCCAAGGTTACCAATTGGGAAGTCAGGCAAGCAGGATCCTCTCTCTCCAAGGGCTTCACAGCATCTCCAGCCACATTTGTTTTGGTCTCTAAATCTTTTTTGTTGTTGTTATTGTTCCATTTTGCTTTTAAAAAAGAGGCCAGCACGTCTTATAAATGGGATTTGTACCCTTGGGGCAACTTAAAGGGTCTCTTCTGTTGCTAACAGAGGATTGATGTCATGTTTCTGTGACCCACTCGCTGTGTGAAGAATTAACCTCATACCTTATCAGACGTCATCTCCTAATATTTTCCTTGTATTTAATAAAAATGTTATGGTGAAAAGATGGAGCAAGCCTAGCACCAAGCTTATGGAGCCTGATAAGTCACAGATTCGTCCTGTCCTCTGCATTTGGGGACCCCCTCCCACTTCACCCTTTCCCATCTTTGCAGAGGAGTTGGAGGTGGGGCACTCTTTAGCTTAGGGATGTGAGGGCAACAGGAGGTGGGGCCCGGACTTCCACTGGGTGCTGGGAAGACAGAGGGCAAACCTGGTGGCCTCTAACGACTCTTCAGGCTGTTCTATATGCCTGGTGGTCTGGCCCCCTGCTAAGAGCCAGCCCTCAGCGCTCACAGGTTCTGTCTCCATCTGTTCAGTCCTGGGGTGCAAGATCAGGTGACTGTGGAGCCGCCGTCCCCAGAGGCTGCAACGCAGAAGAGAGAAAGGGCAGGCCCAAAGAAAGCATGAAATCATTAAGCTTCCATAGGGCCCCAAGAGCTCCACGAGTTGTCCCCAGTCCTTGATTTTGTGGCAGCCTCACTGTGAATGGGGCTGTACTTTAGTAGAGAATGCCTGCTGTTCATGTACAGCCTTCTGAGAGGGGAAGCCTCCAGGTCATCCTCAAAACATACCCCAAGCCTGGTGCTCCAGTCCAGCAGACATGGGGCCCCCAAGGTGAGGCTGAGTGGGGAGGCAGTGCTGAAATAGCAAGTTGGTTGGGAACCAGGAAGGAGCCCACGCTTCCAGGGGCATTGAAAGGAAAGCAGTGGTCCTTGGGGACTTACCAGAACATTTCAGCCTCTTCTCACCTCCCTAACCTGAGCTCCCCCAAGAAAACCCTTTTCTGCTAGAGGCACGGCCCCTTCAGGGGGGCAGTGAGAAGCCTTTGCCAGCTGAAAGTTCCCCTAGATCAGCTCACACCTCAGAACATCTTGTCCCCAATGAGCTGGCAAGGGTGCCGGCACAGGGTGGAGGGGGCGCTGCCGTATCTAACCGGTCGATTGTGCGTAACCGTCTGGGCTGGTTCGTGGAATGTTCTCGGGGGCCCCCTACCCCTTCTCCACTAACCCCCCCGGAAGAAAGGAAAATTATTTTTTGTATTGTAAACTTTAAACACGAAAAAGCTGTTTTTAATTTAGCAGAAACTGGCTTGAAACTTTGTGAACGTTTGTGTCCTTTGGAGAAAGGCAGAACATGTGTACACATACAACAGAGGCTTGCACACACATGCTCACAGGCATACCTGTACACACATGCTTGCGCATACACAGTTGAACAAATAGTTTGTGCACATGCCCTTGGGCCATCTTGGCCCTTTCTGTCTGGCACCCTGAAAGAGTGTGCAGCCTGTCACCTTATCACTTTTCTTCACCTTTCACCCAAGGCAGCATCCACTATGCATGGGGACCGAACTTGGGGAAAGCCCATCTCCTTCCAGATGGCCTGCTTCCCCACCTCAGCCCTGGACTCGGCTCCCGGAGCCTCCCTCTGCACCTGGGCCGGGGCTGTGGGAAAACGCTGTCTCCGGGGACAGCGGGATGCAGGCCCGTGAGAGGGAGGCCAAGTGTGACTTCTGGGGCCTTTCAGCAAGCAAGGGCCAAAAGGGCCTCCGGGGAGTCGTGTGAGGTGGGAATCTGCCCCAGACCTGGCCAGTTTGGAAATCTGCCCCTGGCTTTGTGTCCTGGAATGCAGCTCCAGCTCCTCTGTTCTCACGGGCCCCGGAGATTTCACTTCTCATGGCGGAGTCTCCAAGCACAAGTTTTATTAGGGGCACCTGGCCGTGTGTCCCAGGAGGCACAGCCGGGAATGTTTGTTGCACAAATGAGAGGTTCTGGGTGGGGAAGTGGGAGCAGAGCCTCATCCACTGTAGTGTCTGTGGGCGCCATCTGCGGACCCCAAGGGCAGGTGGTCCATGAAGCTGTGCCCCCCCCTACAACAAGACTCCAGCTTAGCCCTGGCCGGTGTGGCTCAGTTGGTTGAGCATCATCCTGTGCACTGAAAGGTCGCTGGTTCAATTTCTGGTCAGAGCACATGCCCAGGTTTTGGGTTCGATCCCTGGTCGGAGGCAACTGATTGATGTTTCTCCCAACCCCCCTTTCTCTCTAAAACCAATAAAAATATATTTAAAAACAGAAAAGACCCTAACTTAATTCTTGTGGCTGACTCTGCTGTTGCCATCCCGGCAGCCATTTCTCCTTCCTCACCCACAGAGCCCTGTTTTGGCAGCAGTGTGCCCAGCCTTTGATGGGGGTTAATTTAGAATTTGGCTCAGCTTTTCTTGGTAACGCCTTTTGCAGGGGTTGTTTTCAGTCTGGGAAAATTTCCCAGGTCTGGCCAACAAGCTTTAAAGGAAGATCTGGGGTGGGGGTTTCTGATCATGGGAGAGGTCTTTTGCCCCCTTCTATCCCTCAATGCTTCCTATGAGGACACTGCCAGGAGTTTCTGTAGCCCTCTTGTGGCCATGAGGAGCTAGTTAAGAGAGGCACAGAGATGCCGCTTCCTGGAACCCTGAAATCAGGAGGCCACCAGTCCCACCCTGGAACCTTTGATCTCCAGACTCCTTTTTCTGAGAATCACAATGTCTGTACTGCTTAAGATACTTAGTGTCTTGAGATACTAGAGATCAGTTATTGTTATTTGCAACCCAAACACAAAACTATAAAGGTAACAGATGCTAGGGTTTCCCAGTCTTATGTTAAGTCAGGGGTTTTATTTGCAAATAACAGAAACTGACCTGGCTGATTTCAGTAACAAAGATGTGCTTTGGAGGGCTGTTGGGTTACTCACAGAAGTGGCAGGAAGTCTGGAAAACCAGGCTCAGAAAACAGTAAGAATCAAGGTGGCAAGGCAGCTGGGGTGATCAGCTGAAATCAGGTCAGGGGACTGACACTTGTGCCACCACTACAGAATCCAGATGTCTCACCTGTCAATGTCATCTGCCCTTGGCTCTCAGCCATAGTTGCCCCTGGAAATGATATTTCTCCCGTGATGCTGTTTTTTTTGCATCACTTGCCTCCTGAGTGGAAACATCCTATTGGCCTAGCCCATGTCCTGTGCCAACCTAGCTGCCTGGATCCCTGGGAAAGTGAGTATGTGAGTATTCTAGTCAGCTGCTGCCACCATGTAACAAACAACCCAAGTATCAATGGCATGCAAAAATAAATGGGTGGTTTTCATGTATCTGTGACTCAGCTGGGACGCCTGTTCTATACTGCCCTCAGCTGGGCAGCTCTGCTTCCTGGTACAATGCTGTGGAG